AAATGATAATCTCAACAACACGAGCATCCTAGGCTTGGTGTTTTTTGGGCTGTTAAACATTGTGGACCAATGGATACACCTAGATTTTTTGAATGATGCTCATAAATACTTGTATAAATAATCTAGGTGTGGCTAAAAAACTAAATCTTCCAGAAGAATATGGTTTCCTTCCTTTTTCTCAATGTGAACCTGAACTTTTACATGTTGATCTCTGGCTGCTTGACTATGCTTAGTTTTATTTTCATTATTTCTAGAATTTACAGACCAGCTAGCTAAAATTATACATTATTTCAAATGTTTTTCAAAGTAGCTTCCTAACCTAGCCAAAACTGTAATATGTTCTGTCCACCTCCAGTTAGCTATTTGCCGCTGTACATCTCCAGATTTGCAGCCTCGAGCTCTCAAAACTTCTTTGTTCCTGAACAAGTTTTGGAACCCGCGCTTTTTAATGGTTATCTGATGTGTCAACAGCAGTTCTCTCCGTTCTTGTTTTTTCTTTCTGAGCACTGTATCATTTAATGTGTCTTTTTTTACCACTTTAACTTTGAGATTTTTTAAAATCTTCTGGCAAAAACAAAGACTATTTGGCAGTGTTTTCTGAAATTGGTTGAACTGTCAGCATTTCTGTGTTCCTTCTGTGTAATCATTAATAAGTGGGATCAGAACAGAAGTTAGGCCAGCCCTGAGTCCTTTATGAAAACACCATACAATGTATTGAAAATATCTTGACATTTCAGAGAAGCAATACAGTATTACATTGCAGATTTTAGGGATTTAAAACACTGACGGTAACTAATGATTTGAACCTAATTTGTGTTTGAACCTAATTTGCTAATCATCCTAGCAGCATGGGAAAGGAGTGTTTGAAATACCAATTTACATCAAAAGAAAAATAAAAATCCAAAACACTTCAAGCCTTAATGAAGAAGATTTGATAACTTACTGCTCCCCACACCCGCAGTTTCAAAAAGCTTTGTGGTCTCAAGCTGGCTAATTCAATAGATGTCATGACCTGACTCTGAGACTTGATGACATGAGAAACTTGCTTGTGATGTATTTCAAAACTATTTGCTTTGGATGCACACTTGCCTTAATTAATGTTTATTCAGCATTTTGAGAATATTGGGTCAAATTTTCCCCAGATTTAGAAACTCTAGCAGTGTAACTCCAGTCTGAGATAGTTCTTCATCTGTTGTAAATCTAAGTAGTTTCTTTGCAACTATAATTACTTTGCTCATTGCCTGTCAGTAATATGGGAAACAAAAAGCGCAAAAGGAAAATAATGTATGTCATGAGTTTATACTGTACTGTCTTTGCTCTTACTCAACCAATATAAATAGTTTTGGGGAAAAGTTAATTGAAAATCTGTGACTGTGAGAGATGTTGAGGGGTAGCTGTCCATATTATTATCAGTAATTTAAACAAATTCAAGAATACTACAGCTGCTGCAACTAGTTTAAAACTAGTTACATAGTTATTTGGATAGGGAAGAGACAGATATGTTATTAAAAACATGAAAGATTTTTTCAGACAGGATATTACAGTCACATTTTAAACCCATAAAGGCTGTAATATTTCCATTATGGATTTAATCACTTCCAATATTAAATCTCTCATTCTCATTTGTCCTTGGACCCTTCAGCAGTCCAGTTAACCAAGACTGGGTTAAGACTTCTACCGCTTAGGCAGGTGGCCAGTCTGCCAAGAGGTTTTAGAGTATTATTGTGATACTCATTAAGACTCATGTCAAACATGAATGAGCTCCCAGTTTGAAGGTGCCCTGTGGTCATTAAGTATATAAATTTAATTCTTGTTATTAATAAATGACAGAAACTCTTATAGTGAGCCAGTCCAGAAAGGAAATTCAATGCTAAATGTTTCTCAGTTTGAAATTTAGGAATCTAGACTTCTGTTTAAAAGATTCTGCTTCAGGAGATTTTTTGCTCCTCCTTTTTATCTGCACAACATAATATTCTTTTTACTCCCTGAGGGAACATGTCTTCACATTCACAGACCAAAGTAGTACCAGAGTTTAGCCAGGCAACTTACTCCAAGTTAAGGTTCTTTCGAAATGAAACCCCACATGTATTATAAAATAACAATATGAGAAGTTAAAACCACTGAAATGAAAGCATATAGACTGAATGCATCTTTTGTAAGTTTTAGGAGCTGATAAAACATTTTAATACTCAATGACATTATTTGAATAAATGAAGATGTCGTATTAGCAAACATCAGGAATAAAATAAAAATCTAAACTGTTTTTTATGAAGGTTCCCACAAAGAGCCATGGCAGTTTTTCCAGTTCCTACAAATGTTTGTTACCAGTCCATTCAGCATATTCATATGTATATCTGGAAAACAGACGATATTTACACTTACCAAGGAGTCTGTAAGTTGTCAGTGTTAGCAGCGCAGTTGTATCTTACCTAATGTTTACCCATTTATGTTTTGTGGAGAACAGAAATTAGCATAAAAGAAAGCAGACTGAGAAGAGCTGGAGGAAGGGCTCAAATCATTTACGTTTTGTGTAATCCCAGTGAGAAATTTCAGATTTTATTATTGCTTGACAGAATAATACCATGCACAACTGAAAACTGGTCATAGGGAAGCGACTGCCTGAGGGCATACGTATAGTCCCCCCCTGCTAAGGGGGAGCTGTGGTGGTCAAAGAAAGTAAAAGCAGGAATAAAGAAAAAGCTGTTCAAAATAAGCACAATTTCACCAGCTCTGCCATAATAATAGATATAAACAAGAAAAGCACCGGGATAACTTAATGTTTCCCTGAATTCTGCACTAGCAGGTTTTTGTCTGTTTGATTTTTGAAATGCAGTATTCAGTGCCTTCTTCCCCTGCAGCCGCTGCTGCCCTCTTTGTCTATATTGGGATGTGGTATGTACCGCAGGAAATCTTGATATTGGACTCCAGAGCAAAATAAACCCTGTAGCCTTAAATGATGTTTGTGCATTTTGCTAAGGGAGAAAGCAGAGTGTATGTGTGAGCGTGTATACATATGCATATACATAGGTATGTATGTATACACACACACACAAACACACACACACAAAAATATACATATAAATATACACGTGTCTGTGTGTGTGCGTGTGTGTGTGTAAGTTAGTGTTTGTTCCTGTGGTCCACAGAGGGTTCCAGAGCTAGGGACTCATGGGAAAATACGTGGTCCTCTTAATTACAGGAGTGCCATTTGTATTGCTATAGTTAGAGGCCTGCCGGCATTTCCATTAAAACCCCCCTTGCAGTGGTTTATAGTTCAATCATAAAAATGTGCTGCTGCCATTATGAAGTTTGAGTCAGGCAATGATTTGTCGTGTCCCCCCCACCCCCACCACACCTACC